AGGGGCGGCCACCATGGAGTTCCGCCAGGAGGAGTTTCGGAAGCTGGCGGGTCGCGCCCTGGGGAGGCTGCACCGGTGAGCGGCTTCGGGGGCCCTGGGCGGGGTAAGGGCGCGTGGTCAGCGGATGCTGGGTGCCCCCTGGGCGTAGACGGACAGATGGACTGGGAGCGGGAGCTCCCTCAAGGGCTCTAGCTCGCTAGCTCTCCCCTCGGTCACCGACGGTGCTTCCCCTCTTGAGACCATTGGCCTGATCCATCATCCCCGGGTGGTTTTTTCCTTTGCACCCCACTTGGGGCCAGTCTCTGATCACTCACCTGGAGCTGCGTGTCCCTGTCTCTCAGGCCCACACTCTCCATCTCTCTGGCCCTCTGTCCACCCTCCTCTCTGTGTGTCTGCCTCCCCTATCTCTCTATGTGTCTGTGCCGGGCCCCCCCCCCAATTTCTTGATGTGTTTCTGTCCCCCTCCCCCCTGGGTCTCTGCCCTCCTCACTCTGGGTCTCTTTGCCCCTTCCCCTCTTAGTCTCTGTCCACTTCTCTCTCTGGATTTCAGATTTCTGTCCCTTCCCCCAAGTCTCTGTTTGCCTCTCTCTCTGGGTCTCTGTCAGCACCCCAACCCCCACCCCATCTCTGTCCATCTCTCTGTATCTCTCAGAGAGTTTAATCTGGAGTTAAAGCGGATTGGAGCTCATCAGCCTTGTCCTTGGCGGGGGTTCAGCTGGGAGGAGAAAACCCAGGTAGTCTGGGGCCCCCAGGGGAGGCAAGGCCCCAAACTCAGGCTCTCAAGCCGGGCAGACTCCCCAGAAGATGCGGCCTCGTATCCCCAGCCAGGGAGATGACCCCAGTGACCGACATCTCCCTTAGGACAGTCTGGACACCTACTCCCGGTCTCCTGCCCCCAACTCCAACCTGGTTACACGTCAGAGAAATTACTCAGATGCGGAAAAGCCTAAAAATAATCTGGCCACAGTGGGGGAGGGGGCAGCCTCCCCAGCATGGCGGCCCTGCTTGCACACCCCCTGATCTTGGTGACCCCATCCCTAATTGCCCCTTGTCCATCTTGCCTGGCCTAGTGAGTCCTTCCCAAAGTCTAACTCTAGTCCTGCTTGCTGCAGATCACCTCCTAGCTCCCAAGTCTCCTCCCCCCCTCCCCTTTAGTAACAGGAGAGGGATGGGAGAGTGGGGGAAGGAAGGATGTCGCAGTGGGGTGGGGGGACTGAGATAACCTCACCCCTTCTTTTCTCAATTTCCCAGCCCCTCCCCACCCTTCTTTTCTCGCCTCCTTTCACGAGTTTCTCAAAATACATTGGTGTGAAGTCAGGAGAGAGACCAGGGACGTGCTGGTGCTGACGGAAGGGGCTGAGAAGGGGGTGGCAGTGGGAGGTTCGGCCTCAGGGGTTCAGCCTCCAGTTTTCTCCTCCCTTTCTGCTTCCAGGTGTGCCACCTGAGACCCCCCCACCCCCACCCCGTCCCAGTGTGTCATCAGAGCTCCCCCTTGAACCCCAGGAGAGTTACCAAGGGCTCTTGCGTGGAGCACATTAGCACGTAAACCCTGGGGTTCAGTCTTGATGGTTGGGGAGACAGGGGTGGGGTGGGGGGCTGCACTGTATTGGACACAGCAGCCGGATCCCATTCAGTCCTCTAGACCCAACTGGAGAAACTGAGGCTCCTCTTTGGAAGGGAGAAGTCAGTTGGTCTGATAAAGGGGAGCGCTTGGCTGGGGGCTGAAATTCCCTGGAGAGGAGGGACACTGGAGTGGGGGTGGCGGGGGAAGCTCCCTTTGGGCCAGGAAACAGATGGGAACACAGGCCAGCTTGGGACAAGGACATGGAAGTGGGGGGTGGTGATGACAGGGACAGGGAACCCAAGGGCCTCCTTGGTGAGAGCCGGGTCAGCCGAGCAGGGGCAGGGGCTGCTTGGGGCCCGGTGGAAACCAGAACCTTTCAGGTTCTCTGGCGTGACCTTGGGCTTGGTGCTTCTGCTTGCCAAGCCTCAGTTTCCTTAGTTGTGCAATGGGTAGAAGGAGAGCACCAGACAGGGATAGGGGAAAACCTGGAGAGAGGTGGAGACAGGGTCCAAGAGAAAGGGGGACAGAGGACCCAGAGAGGGGGGAGACAGACCCTGAAAGAAGGGGGACAGAGACCCAGAGAGAGGGGGACAGAGGACCCAGAGAGAGGGGGACAGAGGACCCAGAAAGAGCGGGGGACAGAGACCCAGAGAGAGGGGGACAGAGACACAGAGAGGCGGAGAAAGGGGGACAGAGACCCAGAGAGAGGGAAACAGAGACCTAAAGAGAAAGGTGACAGAGACCTGGGGAGAGGGGACCCTGGGAGATTGGGGGGGCGGAGACAGAGTCCCAGAGAGAGAGGGATGTTGAGGTACCTCCAGAGTCTGGGCTTACTACTTGCCCCCCTGGTCCCCAGTGCTGGTTTTCCTCATTCCCAAGCCACCCACCACCCACCACCACCCCCACAACCCCCCCATGAGGTCTCCCAAGGTTGCCCCCTTTCTGTGTGTCTTCTGTGACACCTCCAGGCCAACCTTCCTCTCTGCACCCCTGGTCCTCTGCACCCCCCCATCCCAGACAAGGCCCATCAGCCTCTTTGGAGTCTCACCCTTCTGCCAGTGCCCCCTTATGGGTGTGGGGTGCTGAGACACCCCCCCCTCAGAGCCTGGGTTGGAGAGCGGGCATCTCCTGCTGTGAAGGAAGACTCTCAAGTTTCAGGGCTGCAACCATATCTTGGCTTCCAGGGTCACAGAGCTGGTATCACCCGGTGTCCAGGTCTCCCTCCCATTGGCCAGCTGGTTCTGACAGAGGGGGAGCCCTCCTGCGCCCCTGCGCTGCTCATTCTGGGGCTCAATCTCTTCTCTCTGGGGAGTGTCCATCCTTCTGTTTGTTTTTTCCTCCCCCTCCCCCCACTTTCTTCACCATCCCTCCCACCTCCTTAAGTTCAGGGATGGGGAGGGGCCCCTATGTTCTCGCCTCTCTTTCCCCCTCCCGCCCAGACCGTCTGCCTGTTCTTTTCCTCCCCCGCCCCAGTCTCCCTCGCCTCCATCTGTTCTAGCCCCTTCCTGGGATCCAGCCGGATCCCCTGGCTGCCTACCCGCCTCAGAGAGGAGCCGCACCTCACAAATCACGTTCCAGCCTGTGCCCTGTCATGGTCTCTCTCCCCTGTTCCCAGTGCCTTTGTCCCTACATATTGGGTCTCTGCCCTTCCCTCGCCCTGGGTCTCATGCCCCTCTCTCTCTGGTCTCTGTTGCCCTCTCT